TTGTTATTCTACCATTTTCCCGCAATTTTATTGCCTATCATTCTCTCCTGGTTCACCGTTCAGTCCACCCTGCTCACAGACCCCATAGCCCTATTTTTTGCCCATTTACAGCCTGCAGACCACCTACCTGCTCACCCCCTATTCACCCCCTACCCCGCGGGAACCAACCTGGAATGTTTTTGCCTGGAGTGAATCCGAACGCATACGAGTTGCGCCTCCAGGCATATTCAAGCACACAAGTTGTGTCTCCAGGCAATTAGCGTGTCGTAAGAACATGCCTGGAGGCACAACTCGTATGGGTTGGACCCTGCCTGGAGGCACAACTCGTCTGTGTTCGAATTTGCCTGGAGGCACAACTCGTGTGCCTCCAGGCAGCGCCGGATGCCTCCAGGCGTCGCCGGACTCGCCGGACGCGCCGGGTACAGGTCACAGTATGACGCTCCTTCTGAATCAACGCGAGGGTGACGTAAGCAGCATGCGCATGCACCTCTTTTTTCTTTTTCTTTTTTCCTTCTTTCGTCCGCCACCACACGCTGGCGGCGAGCTGTGTGGCGATATCTCTCTGTTTCTCTCAGGCTCGCGAGTCGACTCGTTCAGCGTTGCAATGGAGGACGTTCGTGGTTTCTATTTCGTGGACACGACGCTCGTTTTTCATTGTCGTTGATTTGTCTTTCTGACCCTCCAAACGTCCATTATCGCAGAAACCACGATGGCATGTCTACTGCTTGCAATTGAACTCCGTTGGCCCGACCTGGACAGAATCGACGACTCGGAGGCCGCGCCCGGTCCTCAAGCTTCAGATCTCAAATGCAGAACTACTAGTACTGTATGACACATTGTAACACCGCGACCCCTTCATGATTCACTTCGACCACCTACATAATAGAAACACAACAGCAATCCGCCCACGTCGACGCACCCAGTAGTTACAGTCCCGATGACTCGGACGAACTTCAGAGTTACGCTCACGGAGCTATATCCCTCTCGACGATAAGCACTTCCATCCAATGATCCATGGCGTACATGTCGTCCTCGACTGGTAGGATAGTTCATCATGATAGCGGATTCAGAACGCGCTCGTTCTGTGGCTGCCTCTGAATCCTACGTCCTTTTATGAACAAAACCGTTTTAAATTTCTCGCGGACTATGGTCTATGGTTAGGAGGTCTTCCGATGTACATACAGGAAACATGAGTATGTGGATGTGGATGTGGATGTGGATGGTTTGCTCTAGGTGTATCGTATCGTACGACGCGCTTCCTCTACGTCTTGCTCTCTGACTGTGACCCTGACGCTTTTTGTCAATGGCACATGCCCATCCTCGTCCTCATCCGCGTCCGCGTCCTCATTCGGGTCGACGACTCAGCAACCTACCGTTCTCTGCGCTTACAGTAACTTTTCACAACCACCGTGCTCTACGGTCTACCCCTCAGCTCGAGCTCGAGCTCCAACGACATCATCCAACCCAATTGCTCATTACAAGCAAAACATCCCTGCCTATGAATCGTCCAACGCAATCCTCCTTCGATGGTCAGCGGGTTATACGTTTATACGTTATCAAGACGTCCGGAAGTGTGGAAGTGTAGATGTGGATGTTTTTGCTCTGCGTCTACTTCACTCTAACGCTCAGCGCCGTATCCAGTATCATAATCCTAAACACTAACTCACTAACTCACTCGTCTTTGTCTTCGTCTTCGTCCCCATCCCCATCCGAGCCGCCTACAGAACATTGACAACCTCTGCGACTCCCTGGAGTTATTACTGTAATAACTTCCTACTGGAGCAAGCAGTAGCAGTATCAATATCCTGCTGTCCTTCCTCGGCTCGACGACGAAGCCTCTATGTCATGTCACTGATTTCTGGCTGTGGCGTTGCATCCCAAGAAGTAAGGCACTCGCTCACTCGCTCGTCCTCGTCCTCGTCCTCGTTGACGACATAGATACTCTACGACTCTCTCTGGGCTTAACTTACATTGCTGTGCTTATGATTCAGATACCCTACTTTACATAAAACAATCGATATCAACATCTATGCCCTGCCCTGCCCTGCTCTGCGCCGTCAACCTTAGCTCACGGTGCTCCTATTATGGGGTTAAACCATGCATCGTTATAATGGACGCCTGGACGCCTGGACGCAAACCACGCACGCATCATTATAATGGACGCCTGGACGCAAACCGCGCATCACGAACATTTTAGACGCTTGCATTCAGAGTCAGAGGTGGAATTTGGTTAGGCTAGGCTAGGTAGGTTACATACATATGACAACTGTGTTAAGTTATAATCGGATGAGGTTTCTGCGTTCTCGTTTGATCTCTGATTTATACTGTATTCGGTCCATGCTCAGAGCTCTAGAAACGGTCTCTCTCTACGCCTTCATCTCTCTCTCTCTTGCCATCCGAGTCGCCATCGCCATCGCCACCATCACGACCTCCTCTGAATACTTAGAACCGACCCTTACGTATCGACACTGTAATATTCCTTCCGAAGTTCTGCTATGTAGCGAAGCCCATAGGGAGCAAGACGCTATGTTATGCCGGAGATCACAATTCACAACTCTGTTATAATCGGTCGAGGCTTATACGTTCTCGAGTCTTGATCTTTGCAATATTGGATTGTAGCCGTTGCGTATGTATGTACTCTGGACGAGGGGTCTACTTACGCCCTCCTCACCCGCATCACCACCAGCATCGCCACCAGCATCACCATCACCACGACCACGACTACGACCATCACCACGACCATCATCACCTCCTCCCCTCTGCTCTGCTCCCGCCCCTCCCTCCCCTCTTACATTCATTCATCATTCATCAATACTGGAATATAGGGAGTTAACCTGTGGACGTCTAGACGCCATGCTATGCTAGAGATCACAACTTTGTTTTAATCGGACGAGGCTTGTTCTCGATCCTTGATCTCTCTAACTTGCGTTCGTGAACGTGGACTTTACGCCGTTCTCTGTCTCCCGCCACCGTCACCGTCACCAACATCATCACCAGGACGGCGACCGCTTTCTATCCGCCCTCGTCTACCGACGCCCATAGGGGGTTATATCATGGACGCCTGGACGGCTCTCTACTCTACTGTCCTCAGCCAGCGACGTCCATAATAAGGTGTTGAAACAAGGATGCCCGGACCGTTTGCTGGAGAGATCATAACCTTGAATAACCTTGAAGCAGACGAGAATGCGCTCTCGATTCCCGATTCTCGACATGGTTGTTCTGCATACTGTACGTCTAATGCTCGTGGATACGGGCTCTACGCCCTCCTCTGTCTCCCGCTACCCCGACCATGACCACCATTACCATCGTCACGACCACCATTGCCTCCTCCTTATGTTCATTCATCAGTCAACGTCTACGCCCTCCTCTACCCCTCAGCACCACCACGACCAGGACAAACTTTCTCGAGATCCTTACATCCGCTTAGAATCCACACTGGAAGAATCCTCCACCCTCAACTAGCGGCGTTAAGCCATGGACGTCTAGACGCTATGCTATGCTAGAGATCACAACTTTCTAACAATTGGACGAGGCTTGTGCGTTTCCGATCATTGATCTCTCTAACTTGCGTTCGTGAACGCGGACTCTACGCCCTCCTCTGTTTTCTGCCACCGCCACTATCGCCCCGACCACCAGCATCACCCTGCATCACCACGACGGCGACCTCGACGACCACAACCATCATCTCCTTACATCCATTCATCATCGACAAAGAAACGATCCGTGCCCTCAGACAGCGACGTCCATATGGAGCTACAATAGAACAAGGACGCCCGGATCGTTTGCTAGAGAGATCGTAACCTTGAATCAAACGAGAGTGCGCTCTGGATTCTCGACCTAGTTCTTCTGCATACGAGTCTATTGATGCTCGTGAATACGGTCTCTACGCCCTCCTCTGTCTCCCGCCACAACGATCACCATTACCACCACGACCACATCCTCCTTACGTTCGTTCTCAATCATCATCAACAACGAAATACTCCGTGCTCTGCTCTACACTATCAGCTAGCGACGCCCGAAACGTTTGCTAGAGATCGTAACCTTCGAATCAGACGAGAGTGTGCTTTCGATTCCCAATTCTTGACCCTCCTGCAAATGTTCGTGAACTAAGGCTCTACACCCCTTCCCCTTACTACGTCCTCCCACCCCTTTCTCTCCTGCTCTTTCTTCACTCTCTCGCGTTCGCTCGCTCCCTCACATACTTACCTAGAGCACGAGACTATGCTTTGCATGCCACGCTCGACCCCTGAACCGGGCGTCGGCCTTCTTTTTTTTTCTTTCTTCCTTCCTTCCCGTCCCTTTCTGTTCCTCTGTCTCTCATCTTTCTTTTTCGAAATAGAGGCACGTATGATTCCATTCAAACATTACTTTTCCCACCATGTACATAAATCGCAAATAAAACACACGTGATAAAGAATAAGATACGACATGTACATCGGACATTCCGATCCATCTCCTCGCTCCTGCCTCATACCCCCGACTGACGAGGTTCTGAATCATCCCGGCGACCGCTTCGCTATCATCGAGCACCTTCGCTAGGGCGACTTCGCTGAACTCGGGCGACATTTTGTTCTCTCACACATGCATATGCATCAGAATCATTCTCGTGCGATTCGAAGTCTACCCTATTTCGTACATAGACCATGACAATAAGTAACCGGCCTGAGATCTGAAAGCTTTATGCAGTAGTCTCACATGAGACCACGACGCGATTCTATCAAAGCGTAGTGATAGCCTTGGTGGTTCTGACAAGGTTCTGAGCTCTGAAGCTCTCTGGGGATCCGAGACGCGGCTATGTTCATGTACCTTTGTACACCTTCAGCTGAAGCCCGAGGAAGGACGTTCGGGGGCCGAGCGAGCGATGTCTATTCTGTCAGCATGGGTTTTTACGATGATGGTCTGCCATCGCCACTGACACTGGACGCTGGAGAACTCCTTGGGGTAGACGGGGGCGCCGATGTCACAGCAAATGCTAGGCTGGACAGCAGTACATATATCCAGTGAATATCAAGCATCGATTCGCCCATAATCGATCGGCGTACATATGCAGGATGTAAATGATCGCAGACGTATAGGATCTCGGGTTTCGCGTGTGAAGGGCGTGTATGTTATACATACGAAAGTAATGACAAATGGAGGCGTCGAGGAGCCGTGGATAATGAAGCAGAGGTGGCACCGTATAATTTAGTCCGTCGTACAACAACAACAACAACAAGAGAGAAGAAGAAGAAAGTAATAAAAACCCTGATCCTACACACAAAAATGAGAGCCATCCGAATCCTATGCCCCAAGCTTATTCATCGGTATCGACCCCTCCTCGTCAAAAATCTCCTACACCGTATCGTCAACACTACCCATCAACATCACTGAACGGCGAGCCACTCACCCCACGCTTCCTATCGCCGTCGTCCGCCATCCTAGAGCGATCATCCTCAGTATACGTCGTAACATGAACGACAGGCCCCGGAACGCCTGACTGTCCGGTGGCTCTACGAACCCGCATGCCGTTTTGGCTCGAACTCTGTTGGGTGTAGACCATCCCTGAGACAGTGGAATAGGCGCTCGGCTCTGGGCGGAAGATCGAGGCTCGGGAGTTGAGGGAGGCTATGAGGGAGTTGTAATAAAGCTGTTGTAGGTGCGAAAGCGCCGTGTGATATTCAGTAAAAATGAACGCCTATGTTTTTCATAGACCGTAGATCGACTGACCTTGCTCAGGATGTACGCACTGGATGCAAGGCGAAGTTCATTTGATGAGCATCAGTATGATTACACGCCTTTAACACTCGGTAATGGTACGCACGTCGCTTCGTGATAGTTCGCATCAGGAAAGGCCAAGAAGAGGATCAGGTCGACCACCTGGATGATCGCCGTAGTCGCACCAGTCTCTGCGGTCATGGTGATCAGCCGTGTCAGGATGACATCGCTCCGGCTTGCGACGACGCCCGCTTCTCTGGACTTTTGACGTGCGCGCCATAGCTATCACAGCAGAGAGGGAATCAGCATACAATGGATAGCTGGACTTCGAATCTAGAATGTGGAGACGTACGAGGAAGGTGAGAGATAACGCGATCAGAATATCGCACGCCGCACTCCCCGCAAGCCATAGGTTCGCCAATATCAGCCTCTCCTTCTCCGATACCTGATCGTTGCGTTGTGCCAGCTATGACGAACGGTCGTGGTATCCAATCAGTACCATTATCTATGCAACACTGAAGAACCTAAGAACGACTCACCACGACGCCTGCAGCGATACCTCCTGACATCTGCGTGACCGAGAGCACCATGATCGATGCGACAACCACCAGCCATGTCCGACTCCTCCGCCCGAGGACGTAGATCCTCCAAGCGAAAAACGCTTGCGCGAACGCTCCCGCTGAGCAGATTTATGGTCAAAAACTGGTACCGTGGTTGTAATTTGCATGGAGATGCGGACTTACCGATTCCAGAAATCACAGGAATGGACGCATACGTCCATCCGCCGAAGATGATGAACTCCAAGTTACCCCAGCCTTGGATCACAGAGTCCCATGTCCCAACAGAGATGATGATGGTGTGGAACAGCTCGAGGGTGAACATGCCGTATACTGTATGTGCAGAGCGTTCGTATGATGAGAGACTGGATGGATGAGTGAGGGTAGTACGACGTACCATATGTTTTGAGCAGGCTTGGGTCTTCGGGGAAAGACAGATAATAAAAATCTGCAACAAGACCGTCGCGTGTTCAGAACTCGAAGCACGAATGAAGGCGGAAGAGAGGGTACAAACACGTCTGCCTGATGAGAATGGTTTCAGTGTCAATATGCAAGCAGGTTCATTTGGAGATGAGTGCGTACATGACGGAGATCCCAAACAGTCCCCACCCGACGAAGGAACCGATGAGCTGTTGGACCACGGTTCAGATTAGACCCAAGTAAAAAATCCAGGAATATTCCTTACCGGCGGACCCAACCTAAGGTAATGCAGAAATGATGAGCAAAAGTCGACACTATATCATCCAACGACGAGCCCAAGTATGTGTACTCACAGTGCAGCAATGTCAGCATCGACGGGCGCACAAGTAGTATTGGTGGCCATTGTTTTCGAGTCCGGACGAGCGCCTATACTACAGTCGAGCAAAGAGGGATCGTAAGGCCAGTCGTCAAACAGTCTGATTGATTTACTTATACCGTGGACGATTGCCAGACGCTCACACAGCTACAACGCCAGTTTGGCTCATACCATTACCACGTCCAGATGATCTACGACTAGTGGGGACTAAGAGATACGGGTCGTATGATTGTCTCAGCATCTGATAGAACGATAGAGTGGAGAACGAGGGCAGTGCATATCATTGCAAGAGCCCCGCCTGAGCACACAACCTTCCTGATCCTGCAAGCGCCTTGATAACATCAGTGCCAAATCGTTCCGCCGAACCGCAAACACTCGAGTGAAACTGATGAACGCTAGACGCCAATCAGGCAGCGTGGGCTCGGGGAGACCGGCAAAGTGTTGAGCAGCAATCAAGAAGGAGCGTGCTCATGCGAACGGAAGACCACCAAATATCAGTAGCGAAAAATCAACTACTATAGCATGAGAACGACATGGTCAAGTGAAGGACAGCTTTGATTGAGAGGAAGGAGCATGCGCGAAGTAAGGAACGCTCGGTTTCCTCACGGTATAATCAAAGCGCGAATTTCTCGGAAGTAAGGAGCACTCAGCCGAGGATGTGAGGGGTGATCACTCTAGTCTTCCCATCTCCCAAACACTGCATCATTAGTTCATAGATAGTAAGGTAGCTGGGCGCAGAGGACTGCCTCCAAGACAGCGCCGACAGTTGTTTTGGATAAGCCACGATGCGGCAGGAGCCTACTAGATCCCATGGAGCAAAGGCCAGTGAAACAGTCAAGCAGTGGCTTTCATGGCCAATCGCGAACAACCTGACTGCTCCTCGGGTAATCCGCCAACGTGCAATACTCACGCACGCCTCCCGAGTGGCAAATAACACATATAGTCTCTGTTCCTCGCGGTCTTTGAACAAAAGGTCCTTACTAGGCGATACATACATGCATATCTTTCAGTGCGTCATGCTGCCCCGCCGATCACTTCGGCTCTCGTCCACTGCGCTGATGGCAATACGCGTGATGCGTTTGTACTTCATTCAAGCATTGTCGGCCTTGATGATGTCGGCGGCCTGTGGGAAACAATGTTAAAGACGTCATGTAGGATATGTCAGCGAAACATGACATGCCTTTTCCGCAATCGCATAGACGGTGGACTGGATGTGACAAGATGGTACCTGTGAACAATGTCAGGACATGTTCGGTTACGTCGCAGGATAAGGGTGGCCTACAAATGGTATGACTGAGGCGTCCGCCTTCGCGAGGAAAGAAATCAGCCAAGGTAGAAGAACGTGCATGTGCATATCCAGTCTAACTCACCACTCTCAAGTTCTTCGTACCGTACACCTTGAGCCCAGGGTCCACCACTCCGCCGTCCGCCTTCGGAAGCATTATCGCAGTGCCAATCGGGTGGAAGAAGGAGCTAACGATGCTTCGAACCCATTTCTCTAGCTCTTCGCCATCCATGTCGTTGGGAGGGTCGTATGGTACTGGATTGGCCGATTTATAGGCATCGGCTCCCGCTAGTTCACGGCAATACGACACCAACTTGACGAGAAGACGAGTATCGCGCGGGTCCTTCAGGAAAGCGGGGTCGATCAGAGGCGCAGCAAGAGGATCGGAAGATCCAATATGAACTGAGCCACGAGACAGCGGATGGAGGATTCCCGCCATGAACGTGTTGTAGTGAACGTTGGGCTTCGGCCTAGCTGCCCCAAAACTGAGGAATCCGGGGGTTTGAAGTATTCTAAGAACCGAAATAACTTAACGACAATTATAAGTATAGAAGACAGGAGCGAGCGACTCACTCCAGCTGGGCATGCCCCTTATCCTCGGCCCATGCCTTGTACAGGGCACGATATTTTTGACCGAGAGGAGTGTCAGGGAAGGCTTGGTCCAGATCATTCGTGAAGGCTTTGAGCTCTTCAGGTGTGAATAGCGAGTGCAATGGCGCGAAGTTGTACGAGGAGAATACCGACGAAAACATCCCTTTGCGCTCTTCTTGGCTGAAATCGAGGTATCAACACACCGTCGGAATGGGTCAGTAGGATAGACGTACTAGAGGCGCATGTTCTCGGCCACGATATCTGGAGACTCCGCCAACGACTCGAATGTGGTGATGTCGTTGGCGACCTCGAAGACGAAGGACACCCAGGCATGGTCCTACGAGATGGTTATGCGGTTTTCGGGTCACAAAAGAACACTACGTACCTCTACGAACCGTGCAATCAACCACAGCAGAATGAAGTTGAATGAGTGATTTGCATTCGCGAAAGCTGGAGGACAACGTACGGAGGTTCTCGCCGACTGGAAGTTCGAGGACTTGTTCAATTCCGTACTTCTTCAAGACGTCAGATTTACCGATGCCTAAAGTAAAGTAAGTTATGCGCTGCCGATAATCCACGAAGTGAGATCGACGTGCCGGAAAGTTCCAGAAGTTGAGGAGTTTGGAAAGAGCCTGCAAATGGAGAGATGTGAGATATGCACGACTTGCTTTGCAGGAACAAGTGCTCACCTGCGGCGAGGATGATCTCCCGCTTTGCCTTGACCACTGTGGTCTTTCCATCCTTCATGAACTCGACGCCCGTGGCGATGACCTCTCCACTGGACGAGTCCAGAAGGATCTTCGAGACATGTGCTCCGGTAAGGAGGGACATGTTCTTCCTTCCGATGTTGGGAAGATAATATCCCTGAGAGGAACATCAGCCAGAAACTTCTATGAAGAGGTTTACCTGAAACAAGAATACCGTAGTGGAATAACTGCGGGTAGCGGTATTAGGGTCTACACAGAATGCACCGGTATATGTCCCTCCGTTGCGCCCAGACCCCTGGTCGAGATGTGTAAGGCGCATACTCGAGAAGTTGAGTGCGAGGTAACGTACCGTGTCGATATTGTATGGTACTCCAGAGGCTACGCTTGCCTCTGCAAAAGGGACGTGCAAGTCATTGCTCCAATTGGGGAATGTCTTATGGATCGGACCTGCGAGGTGGCAGTGAATAGTCAAATTTAAGAAATAAACACTCAAAAAAGGCGTGACCAACCGTCACGGCCGTGGAACTCATCGGTATAATCAGCTTTATGCTTGATAGCAAAATCGCCAGGGGGTGGAGTAAAGTTCTCGGACTGACAAAGCGGAAATCAGTGACGATCCAAAAACAAACGATGCCGGCGCAAACCTTCTTCATATACTTCAGGAATTCGTCCCAGTTCCATCCATTGTTGCCTAAGGTTTCGTACGCTAGAGCAACCCGGCCATTAGTCTCGTAGTCGGAACAAGAGTCGGACGCTCAATCACCATCATACTCCGCAGCAGACGCCCTGAAATTATTGGTAATCAGTACGTGCGCAAGAAGCATGATTGATAGAATCCCACCTTCCCAAGGCTGCGAAATTCAACTGACAGTCCGTGAGGATCGGTGAAGAGTCGACATGGACGTGATGGGACTTACTGCAGAAGAGCCACCGACGACCTTCCCGCTGATGATGTGTCATTAATTACTGATCCCACGACTGTAACAAAGTCCATCCTCACCGAGGTTGCCCTATCTGACGATTGGCTGCATGTTCTTGTGGAACCGTAGCGAACTAGACGAAGGCACTACATGAGACATTTACGCCAAATCACATAGAGTATCTTACCTTCCAGTCTACGTCGGTTCCCAGAGATTTTCCTACCATACCTGTAATGAAGGTCGATGAGTATGTCTCACAATTAAGTGAGCACAGGTCGCCTACCGGGTATGTTGATCTCGGGCATATCAAGTACGAGCTCTCCAGCTTCGATGATGCCAACGTGTACATGAGGGTCTTCCGAGAGCCTGTAAGAAGACAGAAAGTGTCAGAAACGTGCCAGATTTCAAATGCGATGTCGAGTATTGCAGTGTCAAAGCCACAAGTAAGCGAACAAAGGAGATGACGAAAGATAATAGGGAGACCAGATAGATCTATGTCATGCCCTGTTGAGCTTCATGTGATGCCTGAACTAACCTTGCAGCGACAGCCAATCCCGCCGTGCCTAGGTTGCAGTTAGTGGTCGTCGTATGGTTTGCCCAATAGGCATGGCAGCGTAGTCTTCAGACACGCACCAGCACCAACGACGAGGTAGTCGAAGTCAGTAGCAAAGAATTCAGCTGCAGATACAGGAGGGATAGTCGCCATGTTGGACCAAGAGGGTGTTCAGAGTAAGGGGGAAAGAAGGTTGAATGATCCATCGATACCAACTCCTCACTTGTATAACTTGGCACCTGTGGCGCCCGAATGATGGACGTTTGATCGGTGCTGCTCCTTCCTACCGGGTCGAGATTCTGCATCCAGCGCCAATCTCTGAAATCCCTCAATAGTGGTCATAATCACCGAGGAGGGCTGTTATATATACCGTATCTGAAACTGATTTCTAGACCTTGCTGAAGGCTTTACAGTCGGTACAGATCTCACACGAACTCCTGCCTATTCACGTTGGCCTCTTGGCGGATTGTCAGCCTTTCCCCATCAGTTGGTTCTAGCGCCAGAGAGACGAACACTATAATGTTAAGATGGTCTGCACAATTACGGGTGCTATAGGCTCGTGGAGAAAGCAGAATAGCTGGTCGTCGCGTCAAGGAACCCCCTTGGACGGTTGCCTTATATGGCAGCTTTTGGCAATGGTGCGCACGCGGACCGTCCTGCGAGAGCGTGGATGACTAATCATCATAGAGGGGAATGATTTGAAGAACCTTTAGTCACCCACACGAAGTTCCGTTTTACGCCCCCTGCCTGTTTGAACAGCATCTGCATGGGAAAGCAGCTGGCTGCGACACAAGCTAGCTTCGAGCTTCGAGCTTCGGACTCGGCAATCTTGACCCTCTCGCTTCTTCCTGCATCTCTGGACGAGACTACTTCTGATTTCTGATACAGAAATCACCCCAGAGAGCTCATATGATCATTCGAATGCGTCACTGTTAGGGCCAACAGTCGACCTTCCGTCTCTCTCTCAGATTCTCAGTATCCTCGTTGAACGAGATCAGAGACGACACGATATCGCCGATACGATACGGTAGTACAACGATTAGGCTGAACTTTCGATATTTCCCCTCTTGGGATCGGAAGGGCCCGTGAAGGATTGAGGGTAACAAGAAATATACTTGAGTTGGTACTCGCGTGTAACGAGGGCCCGGGGACGTATGCCGCAAGCCAGCGTGTTTGACTCTGGTGATCGCCATAGACGGGGAAGTCATTGGCGGTATGCACAAGGCCTTCGAGGTTAGCAGAAAGTCTGGTCAATGCGTTGCAACAATTGGTGAGAAGCGGCGTTTGGTGGCGTCAAAGAGAACGGACCGAGGGAGACTGTGGAGATGTGGCCCAACTCGCTAACGGATCAGCAATGCGATCGTTAGCAGCTCACTAGTGTAGTGGGACTATCTTGAGTATCTGAACTGATCGAGCAGATTTCACAAAATGTTACGGAAGTCTTCAGAATGTTTTCACCACAAAAAATCGAAGGGTATGTCTTACCTCCATCGTGTGAGTGCGTTCTCGTCACCAAGATTCAGGTGGTCGATAGTTGGGCAAAGCCCTGGGGAGAGACCCCTCCGATTTGCATCTGTTCTCAATCTGCATCTAGAGAAAGGCAAGACAGCGATAAAATCGTCAGCATTTCCTGAGCGTATAAGAACAGGGCGAACCGACGGTAGCGAACGAGTTAACGGGAAGAAACAGAGTGAATGCACGTCACGACTTCTCGGGGGGCTTGCCCAACAAGGATACTCACGTCATTCACGCATTACTTGCAACAGCTTCGGTGATCTTTATCACGCACAGTACGCTTCAACAAGAGAAGGGGATGCGCCCTCGATGAAGGAGTTGATTCGTGTGGTGAAGGACTGAACGGCCAAAGTATGAATGACAGTACGACCACGTCGTGACACAAGAATGGTCAGAGAAAGCTTGAGGTAAAGGATACCAAAGTGGAAGAACGCACCTCTGATCAGACTTTTATAACCTAGCTAACGCAAGTATAGATGATGAGGCTCGGTGTCGACTTTCACGTTTTCAGGGTTTCAGTGGTGGGCTACAGTTCGTAATATGTGGCAGGTTTGACGGAGATGGGAAATTGAAATTAAGCCCAAAGCACTCAGTAAGTAGTGTATACGTAGAGACAACCTGAGTTAGTACGCACCGTTGCAAATCCCAGAAGTACGGGCCACCGTTCAATCCTGGCCTGTGCTTTTCCCAACATTTCAACACGCTAGAGTACAACTACCCTTCCGACGAGATGAAATCACCGGAGGACCAAAACATGGCACGAAGAGCTGGTCGGTGAGGCTATAATATATCGGCGTACGACAGGGCTCACCCTTAGTCCGACCCAAGCCCTCCTCCCGCACTTGGCCATTCTCCATATGCCAAATCACAATTCATGGTTTTGAGACCATCCTTGATTCTGTATAAACTATCGACCCATCAGCTATTCCCGAGGCCGACAAACTAGTGTCACGAAGTTTGGACGAATGTTGGATGAACGAGTGTGCATCTGACCGAGCAAAATTTTTGCGGAAAAATGACCTGTATGGAAATCGCATGGAGAAGCTATCAGTACAGTCCGGCAGCAGTAGTTGAACTCTGTCTAGAATTCATTGGTTAATGTGATCATAGTGCAGTACACAAGAGCTCGAGATGCGAATGGTCGAGCCTTTCGATTCGACGTGTTCGCGATGAGTCTATACGAGAAGAGTAGAATAGAAGTACCTCGGAGAACTCCGCGGTGGCACTCATCCTTGTACTATTCTCAGAGTCGGTATCGTTCGTGCCACCACGCCAACGATCGCCCGCCAGCGTGGTTACCCGAAACAATGAATACCCCTTTGTAGTCACCGTGTCAAGGTGCCCAAGTTGGGCAGTGAGGTTGATCTTTGTCAAGCTGGGCATATATATAATGCCCTTCTCCCTCGGTGTTTCTGAGTCCTCTCGTCTCCATTCCGTTTCATTCCTCTCTGTTCGTCCTAGCCTGTGTCTTCAATATGGTACTCACTGCGAAGAGCAACACCAACATCGACGACGGCCATAGCGCTGTCTGCGACTCAAACGGACCAAGCAACGAACCCAGCACCCTGGCAGCGACACTCGAATGTCGCAAAAGTCGACCAAAACATATCAGGCCGTATAAGTGTGTATAAGGGTATA